CCCTAAACCCCTAAACCATAAGCCCTAAACCCCGAAACCCCTAAACCCCTAAACCCCTAAACCCTAAACCCCTAAACCCTAAACCCTAAACCCCTAAACCCCTAAACCCCCACTCGGAACTCCTCAGCCGGTCTCGGTAAATCGGGGAAGGACCCTTGAAACTAAGGTTTAGGGCTTAGGGTTTAGGGCTTATGGGTTTAGTGTTTAGGGCTTAGGGTTTAGAGTTTAGGGTTTAGGGTGGGTTTGGGTTCTAAGTAAATGTGCAGTTCTCTAAATTACGGTCCCTTTTAGGGTCCTTCTTTTTCGGGTGCCGTACTATTCTGGGGATTTAAAAAACCTGTGAAGCCACCGAAACCGGGTCCCCCGAAACCTACACCACCTGAACGAGCCTCTATAGCCTAAGTAAGCCCTAACCTATAAACCCCTATTCTGGAGAAGCTCTTCAAAAGATAACCCTAAACCCCTAATCCCCCGACACATCCTAAACCTTCATTCTATGCAGACGCGAGGTTCGCCAATGCGCAGAGGTCGCCCAGTCGCCTGCCACCGCCGAAGGCCTTTAAACCCTGTTGCTACGTAGAGTTTCCATTTTTGGTTTTTAAAGTTGGGTTTCCTACAGGATCCTAAACAAAAATTGGCTTAACCGAAAGGATTCGCAATGGAGCCTATTGCTATTGTCGGATTGCCAGTTCCTTTCAAGGTTCTATAATAAGGGCTTTAGGGTTTAGGCTTTCATATAGCAGCCTGAATCATTCCCTAATTGTTGTTCCTCCTGGTTCCACAATTATATCATATCTGTTCTAAGGTTTTAAGATCCCTTCTTTGCACTCCTACACTTCTGAGCCCTCAACACCAACCTGCTTTGCACCTAAACCTATTTGGTGGGACTGTGCCGATGACTTGCATCGACATTTCCAATATCATATCGGCCCTGTCGGCTTGTGTAATGTAGGGGCCTTAATAATCACCTATACTATTTTGGGGTTCCTTATCATAATTATATTATAATATACCCCCAAAACCCTATTCTCATTATCCAGGCGCCTACATTATGGTTCACGGCAAGAGGGATACTTCTTATTTTTGCCTTGAAGCTACAATTCTCACCACTCTGCCATGTCTTGAACCATATTTCTTCGACGACGACTTGGTCTTGAGTTTGAGCGGTTAGCCAAGTATTCCAACAGTCGAGAATGATTCCCTTCTGCGCAAAACAATAGCCAGCTGCGGGAGTTCCAGAAACGCGGGACTTAAATCCCAAAGCCTTAACCCTCGAATGCAGGACACTGCTACCCCTAAACCCTAAACCCTAAACCCGAGTCCCAAAATCCTAACCTCAGTTTTCGCTTACACCCTCTATGCTTTCAGGATCCCGACAACGAGGACGAGCAGGCGCTGGGAGTTTAAGCGCGGCCACATTATGTCCCGTTTTGTTTGGGAGTTTCATAGGGTTTCTGGTTTCTTTAGAGTTTTATGAGATTTTGGGTATGGTTGCTGGCAAAGGTTCCGACGCTCTAAATTGTAGGTCCCTTCGTCGGTTTATCAGTGCTGTGCACAGGATCTTCATGCAACATTAACAGCTACAGGGGAGACTACAGGAACTCTTATGGACCCTAGTAGCGCCAACTGACGCTTATTATGAGCCGATGAAGCTCCCTATATCCCCCTAAACCCTAAACCTCATAGTGACCCTAATATAGGGGCCTTATTAACCATCCATAGTATTTTCGACCGTGCAATGTGATGCCTCGCAGACTTTCGGCGAACACTGGCAGCATCCTCCAAGCAAGCTTACGATGATGAACCTTGTCCATCTCGTCAGGGTGGCAACCCTAAACCCTATACCCTAAACCCTAAACCCTAAAACCCTAAACCCTAAACCCTACACTTCGGTGTGGTACCTGTAGGCAGGATTTTGTCTTCCCCGTGCCAGTCGAAAAATGCCCGCCGCCTCTCAGCACATCAAAAGCACAAGCTGCGCTGTGCTTCGAATCCGAGCGTCGTTTTCCCCCGGGGTTAGGGTTTAGGGTTTAGGGTTTAGGGTTTAGAGTGAGAGACAGAGAGAAAGAGAGCCTAGCAGCCTAGCAAGCCCCCTGATCCGCTTCAAGTAATGAAGTCTACCTCCCAACCCTAAACCCCTAAACCCTAAACCCCTATCAAAGCCAGCTTGATTTCTAAAGCCCCCCTGAGCACCCACTTGTGCTCCGAGACCCAGCACCAAACCCACAGCCGCAAGTCCTTTTTCCTGAAAGCCCTCGACTAATATAGGGGCCTATATAATTACCTATACTATTTTTTGGGGGGCGGGTTCATTATTCTGATTCTGGTATAATTGGCCCCAAAACCCTATTCTAATTATTAAGGCCCCTATATTAGACTGCTAAACCCTGCAACCCTCAACAACGAACCTTTTCGCTATGCCAGCGCCAGCTTCTGGAATTTCTGGCCTAGACCCTAACCTTAACGACTACCTTAACGCACCAAATCCCGTTGTCAATCCCCCAAACTTTGCCCCTAAACACTACGTTGCTAGATGCGAAGCCCCTATAAACCCCAAGTAAAGCCCAAGCCCTCAAAGGTCTGAGGAGCCTTAATCCCTGAACCCTAAACCCTAATCCTGCAGGAGGACATAGCGACCCTGGGTTCAAAGAACCCGGCCTTCCACCAGCTTTGGGAGATGCCCGGCGGCAATTGGAGGTTTAGGGTTTAGGGTTGGGGGTTTTAGAGCCGAGTATAGGGGCCTTAATAATTGGAATAGGGTTTTGGGGTATATTATACTAGAGCTATAATAAGGAACCCCCCAAAATAGTATAGGTAATTATTAAGGCACCTATAATAGGGTTTAGGGTTGAAGTGATTCTTTAAAGGGTCCTGGCTACTAGTTTGAACGGTTTCTATGAGGGTTTCTGTGTAGGCGATGTAGCATTTCGCAGGGGATTTGTATGGGGGCCTGTTTTGCGTTTGTGGGGTGCAAGGTTCTATGTTAGGTTCTGTATAGAAACCGGCCTACATCAGTAGAGAGGTTACATCTGACTTCGCTTACGTGCTAGTAGAGGATGTTCCGTTCCTACTTCTCTGCTCTATCAACCCGATCCCCACAAAAACCCTGAGCCCTAAACCTTTGGACCAGGAACCCCCTGGCTAGACAAGGGGCTCAACCAAAAACGCTGTAATTCATCAGCCCCATAAAAACCCTAAATCCTAAACCCCTAAACCCTAGACCCTAAACCCCTAAACCCCTAAACCCTAAACCCTAAGCCCCAGGACCATGACCCCCGCGCAGCGCAAGGCGAGGCTGTCGCGGTTCAGGGTAATATAGGTAGTTCTCTAAATTAGGATCCCTTTTTGGGTTCTTTTTTATAAGGGTGCCGTACTATACCTGGGACCTTAAAAGGGACCCTAAATATTAGAGAGGGTGGTCAAAGCTCTGGTTGATTCGGGCTTTAAGCATGTCGGTCCAGTTCTTTCTGGATTGGGGCTTTCGGGTCTCAAAGCTTCGGGGTCCAGGGCTTTTGTCCTTGCACTTTGTTGGCCGTTTCAGGAGGGACCGGCTTTGTCTGTCATTCTATCGTGTTGTTTTAGGTGCAGTGGGCTTCAGGTCTTTCGGGTTAGTGTTTTCAGGCTCACGGTGTGGGGCCTCAACTTATGCCCACTCCATCGAATTGTAAAGTCTCTGTTCGGGAGTTTGTCTGGGCTTCAGAACACCATAACTCAACGCGCTACGCGGTTTGTTTTTTGTCATACCCCCAACCTTATTCTGCGAGCCTAGCCAGGGAAGGTGTTTCGGCTGCTTGCACATGTCCGTGCCACTTTCTTGAGCCTTTTTGCAGCAGGGACATGAGAGTCATAACGGACTTGCCCCAACAACTACCGTAGCAGCCAGCAACTCTCCAAACAATCCAGCTGTAACACAATGTATATGTGCAGACGGCAAATGAGATGGTGCTAAACGCACGACGAAGAAGTCAGTCAGTCAAGGCAATGACACACCACATGCCGTGAACATTGTTAGCATCATGCATGGCATCAGCAATACCTTTGACATCCTTTAACCGCAGGAGTAGGAGCAACAACACTAGCACCTGGACGTTAAGCCTCGTCTGAAAGAGATTTACCTGGGGCTTTTTTAACTTTCCATTTCCAGCAACCATGGGCTTCTTGGGCAGCGTCTGTCGTTGTTCCGGGGCGCTGCTAGCCATTCCCATCGCCGTGATCGTGGCGGCAGCTCGGGAGGATGAGTCCAAAGACCCGAGTAGAAGGAGGCCTATGCACCATGCGGTGCCGTACTAGCTTGGGGACCTTTTGGGGTACCCCAAATAATAGGTGCCGTAATATAATAAGGACCCAAAAGGGGACCATAATTTTGACAGCATCAGGGAGAGTTTTGCTGGGTTTCGGCGCGGAGTTTCGAGATTGCCGAGGTCATGGTGGAGACACCCACGGTGACCAAGCTAGAAGGCCAGGGGGCTCGGAGATGTCCGAAGCCCTAGAAACTTCAGGACTCAGTTGAAGGTTTAGGGGTTTCGGGTTTAGGGGTTTAGGGGTTTAGGGGTTTAGGGTTTAGGGTTTAGGGTTTAGGGGTTTAGGAGTTTAGGGGTTTCGGGGTTTAGGGGTTTAGGGGTTTAGGGGTTTAGGGGTTTAGTAGGGTTTAGGGTTTAGGGTTTAGGGGTTTAAGGTTTAGGGGTTTCGGGTCTAGGGGTTTAGGGGTTTAGGTTTCGTTGTTTTCGAGGCAAGCACCCTGCGCCCCACCGACATGCAAGGCAACCCTTAGCAAACCGTGCTTCCCCAGATCAAACTCCTGTGGCTTTCGATCGAAAGTTATTGTTCCGAACCATAACATCGAGCTTGATGATACTCATCTGAGTAGTAGCCGTATATACTAAAATAACATGAATATGACATCGAGAACTACTGATGTTACCTGAAGGACCCTAAACTATGGGAATTATGGTATATTCCTTTTTATGGGTAATGCAGGATTTATATCATCAATCAACCGCATGGAGGCAACTCGTCACTGGGAGCTCTGCAAAGCCCAATATAGAGGCCTAAACAATTACCTATACTATTTTGGTGGGTTCCTTATTATTACAATACAATATTATTACAATACAGTATACCCAGAAATCCTATTCTAGTTATTAAGGCCCTACATGACCTCAACCAAGGACTCCAAACCCTCAACTCCTAAACCCTCAACCTAAACCCTAAAATTCCTGAGCCCTAAACCGTTCACTCTTTAAGTCCTCCCCAGGATCCCCTGTCTATTGCCCAGGTGGGCCCACCTTTGAGGCTCCTGCTGACGAGGTGCCGCAGGATGCTACGGAAGCATCAAAGGCCCGGCTCACCGTTGCGTGTACCCCGCTTTACAACCAGAATCCCCACTGCACAACCAGAATCCCCACTTCACAACCCACAAGCCTTTCCAGAATCCCTACTTTGCAACCGGTTGCGAATGCTTCTTAACAATCGTATTAACTGACAACGACAAAGCCTGGAACCTCCAGCACCATCCTTTACAACAACCATGCAGATTGGAAAGTCTTGCTGGTTGCAATGTGGGCGTTCTTAAGCCGAATCCAGGACATATACATATATATATATATATATGTCTATATATGTCTGTGTCTGCGCATGAGGGTTCGGTATTGATGTTTCTTTGGTCGCTCACCTCACCGAGCTAGTTGAAGTAATATGTGTAGTTGCCAATATTCGGGTAATACTTGATGTTCATTGTCGCATTCAGAGGCACTCGGACGCAAGATTCCTCTTTCCAGGCGATGCAGACATGCAGACATGCAGACATGCAGACAGACATGCAGACATGCAGAGAGACATGCAGACATGCAGAGAGACATGCAGACTGGTTGCAAAGTGGGCGTTCTGAGGATCCACAGTTGTAAAGCGGGGATTCTCACAGCGGAAACAGTGTCTGTGGTTGTAAAGTGGCGATTCTGGTTGTAAAGTGAGGATTCTGGTTGTAAAAGGGGTTGTTCTCGAGGCTCACTGCTGGGTCCTTGTTGGATACAAGTTTACATTTTTGTTATACCAAAGCCCAACAAAGATTGAAGATGATCGTTTTCAATATAGCGCCAACAGGGAACCAGACTGGGGGTTGGGGTTTAGGTGCACTGCTTGCAGTGTTCCGACCTTTTTCAGGGGTAAGTTAAAGTTGGCTGTTTCTGAAGCTCCCGTATTCCCGAACACTCCACATAGTCCAGAGTTCAGAGTAGGAACTATTTTCATAGCAGTGGATAGTGTCTGAATCCTGGCGGTGTCAGTCAATCTTACGGCTACTACATGCTACTACCAAAGGCAGCATCTGTTGAACAGGGTTGCCTTTAACATTGGCGTCAATTGAGGGTACATTCAGGAGTCATATGATGTTCTGCAAAAAATCAGAGACCGGGGCTTTGAACCTGGGGTCTCGGAATACATCCGGCAGTATTTCCGGGTCTACTCCACCTTCTGCTATGCCTCTGCAGCTTGAGAGAAGCTCATCATAATTTATTACTTAAAAGGCGTGCTCTCATATCAAAGAGCATGGTAGCAGTAGCAAAATCATAACAATAGTCATCATGCCAAGAATAACAATGATATTATTTTGAAGTACCAGAAGGTTTGCACTACTCTGCGACGCTGGGCTATGCGATCGACTATTCTGCTCTGCTTTTGCCCCGGCGCCCCGGACCTAGGGTTTAGGGTTTACCCTGTTCTCTCAGGTTTAGCCTGCAACAAGAGTCCAAAGGGGCGTCCGTGACACCAAGGCCTCAACCAAAACCCCTTGGAATCCAGAAAGACCCCTAAGTTACTGAAATAAAGGTCGGCCGCTTTTGGCCGAAGCCCTGGTAGAATATACTCTAATTAGTAAGGCCCCTGTATCGCAGGAGGGACCCGCGGCTCCTCGCATGGGCTCCGGCAGCATGTTCGACCGTATCGCCTTCGTCTACGACTCCACAAACAAGCTGCTCTGCCAGTTGGGTAGTTGTCAAAATCATGGTCCCTTTTGAGGTACCCTAAATAATAGGTGCCGTATTATAATAAGGACCCAAAAAGGGACCATAATTTTGACAACCACCCAGTTAGGACTTGGGGTTGAAAGGCTTTCTTGCTACATTGTCGGGGTCGTGGGTTGAGGTGTCCGGGCTTTTTGGTTGTAGATCGGCTTCGGGATTTGGGTTTAGCTTGAAATTATGGCTTAGGGTTTAGGGTTACAGTAATGTTTTTGGCTTCTGGGCCTAGGGTTTAAGCTTTTGGAGTAGGTTTGGCCGTCGAGGGCTTTAGCGAAGACTTGGACTTTGAATATAAGCCACGCGTCGAATGTATGGTTTCTGTAATTAACGTCGCCTTGCACAGGTCCTTCTCCTTTGCGAAGGTATCGCAGTCGAATATTCCCCCCCGGCAAGCTCCTCGTAATTATTCGTCATTACTCGTGTCCCGCAGGTCTTTGGTTCCGTGCTTCGTTTTTGATGCGAATCAGCATTGATGCTTTCTGGTGATTTCTGGTGAAGGGGTGCGCAGTGCAATCCGCGACTGGATAATTTCGCATTGCTCCGGTGTCTCAACCCCTTGCCCTACATCCACCAACAACGAACCCTGGCCCCAAGCCAGGCTTCCCTATATAGCTCCTCTACAGTCTCAAGCCCTAAACCTAAACCCAGGTGGATGTCGCTTGGCCTCGACCAGCATTGGCGCAGCACGCTCGTCAAGGACCGGGCAGTCGAAAGATCCGAAGAAACGGCCTTGTGGGCATCGAGGGTTTAGTTTTTATGGATCCAGGGTTTCGGAGTTTAGGGTTTAGGGTTAACTTTGAAACAATCAAAGCATGTTTTTTCGTCGACGGTCCCAGTGAAAAGGCCACCATATACAATTGTTTCATGCATGTTTGTGTGTCTCTATTCTTACTGTCGAGAGATAGATATCACACTTGTCGGTGCGAGGTATGGTTGTGGGCGGGAATGCATCAGCATGTGCCTCGTGTTCGATGCCGTGACGATTATGTCCTGTTGCAGTAGCATGCATGACAAACCGTAGGAGCATAAACAGCGTTGTCAAAGACAAGCAAAAAGCAAACACACACACACACACACACACCCATATATATATATATATATATATATGTATAGCAAGGGCACATCAAGTTGCCCGTCCGCAGTGTGCAAGCTTCGTGACGGTTAGAAATCCCGCATAGACGCAACGACCAACAAAAACCAGGCAGACAACAGCAGCATAAATGGAAAGACCTGAGAACAACCACTGGCACCCACAAGTCATGATGGCAAGTACGGCCTGGTTCATGGCCGTACTGCCAAACTGCATCACGCAGCCTCCTGTATCCGATGGACGCGTCGAGCTTGATAAAATTCCTGGTGGTGCTGATGCCTTGTGTTGCGAGCATTGGCTTTCGAGTCTGAGTGGTATTGCGAATGCTTGCGTTGGTATTCAAACCGGAATGTCCGGACATCGTGAGCACTGAAGGCATTTACAGATTTTCAGAGAAGAAGAAGACGCCTGAGGAAGTTAGGCTAGACAGCCCTACAGGTGCCTTGCCGCGTAGTGGGCTTCAGTGTCGCATGGCTCGGGATGCTGGGTGAATTCTTACACAGAACAGCATCGTGCACCTTCGTTCTAGGGTTTAGGGTTTAGGTAGAGGTCCAGGGGCTTATAGGGTTTAGGAGTTTAGGGTTTAGGGGTCTAGGGGTTCAGGGTTTAGGGTTTAGGAGCTTACGGTTTGGGGTTTATTTAGGGGTTTAGGGTTGAGGGTAGAGGCCGCGATCGCGTGGCATGTTGTGCTTGGTTCCGCCGTGTTCAGCAGCACGCAGTTGGCCAAACATTGGTTCCATGTGGTAGCCATTCAACCAACGAGCACGCAATATACAGGAGGCAGTTAATCTAACAGACTCCCTAAACCCTAAACCCTCAACCCTAAACCCTAAACCCTTGGCGTCTATGGAAGCCTGACTATCTAAGTTACGGCCTTGAAGCTAGACAGACGTGAAGGACTGCTTGCAGCTACAGCCAGAGGACAAGGCTCTTCTTGTCATATTTGGGAGGACTTTCAGGTTCAGGAGAGGGTTAGGTGGGAGGTTCGGGATTCAGGGTCTGTGTTTTCGGAGTAGGAACGGGAACCAGTCTTCAGACATGCTTTGGGATTTGGGGTTTGAGGTGCCTGCTTCGCTCTCGGACATTCGTCAGTCCTTGCCTGGTGTGGGTCTGGGGCCGACATCGAATCCCCGCATCTGCTGCTTCCGTGATGCCACTTACAACACCACCCACGTCGTTCGGCTTCTTTCCATGAGTTATTGGGTGCCACTCCTGTCTAACTGAACTGAAAGGATTTGTAGCTTGCGTTTAAGTAGATCTTCTCCCATACCCCTGAAGCCTGAAACTTCCACACTCCCACGGCCAGAACGCTAGGAAAAGGCCACGAACCCAAAGATAGGTAGTATTATCAGGGGTACCCCTTAAA